ATTCACCCATAGCTTAGGAAATGATTATACTTAATGATGTTGGAATCAATTGAGTAACTCTCACAAATAATTGGATGCTCGTTGGTCTTTATTGAAATTTAGAGGAGATTATATATGGGTTTTGTCATGTATGTTGTAGGAAATTTGTAGTGTCATGTTATTTTAATACATTTGATGTGAGTCTCACTCAAAAATAAAGAAAAAAAAGAAAACAAGGTGAGATCATCATTTTTTATGAAAGTAACATGACACTACAAGTTTCTTACAACATGATATATATAAACCCATTATATATATAGTAGTTCTTTGATAAATGCATGAAAAATAGGTGTGTTTGACATGACCAAATTATTTGGACTTGCTCATTGCAAGAAGCATATGGAGATTACACATTTTTTAGATAAAACACAAATATTCTTTACGGGAAGCAATCATATTCGAAACGGGTACATCTACTATGAAGATTATATATGGTCATGTGTATGTTCTCTTAGGTGATTAATAAGTTCTTAAACGCATTTATTTTTGCATATTGAAATCTTGGTACATCCATGGTGAATTTCAAAGGTTTGTTATATCGTATAATTTGAAGCATTGGTGCATTAATGATAGCATTGAAGTCAAATACTTAACGTGTACGCTTCTGAGAGATAAAAAGTGAATCAAATGGCTAGTGTATATGAAAAATGTTAGTGCACGTGACATTGTCCATGTAACGTCATCCAAGACGTCATGTGAAATAACAGTTTGCATGTTTGACATATCCATGTATGCATTTAAACTTAGTGAAGGTTGAATTACAAACTCAAAGAAAGATTTTAGAGTTTATAATGTAAAATAAATAGCTTGATGACATGGGTTAAACTTAACTCATAAATAAAAACTTAGCATTTCGCACTTTGAATTAGTCTCATAACTGACTTAAGAAGTTGAAGTTTGTAAAAATATTGAAGAAACTAATTCGCAGATAATTAAGGTTGGATTAACATAAAAAAAAAACTTAAACGTGACTGCTGAATTTACCAAAGATGACTGCAGTAATTATTTTTTCTTTTAAACTGCCTAAAAAATATAAATTGCATTAGATTTTAACTAGATTTGAATAGCGAACAAGCTAATTGGTTAATATTTATTTATGTTTCCGTGCTTCACAATGATGCACGGACACAGACACGAGATACGGGACACGACACGACACGCCGACATGTTAATTCTAAAAAATGTTATATTTGGACACGTTGGGACACGTTTTGATATTAAATAAATTTTTTAATATATATAATATAATTTACATTTAATACATATAGCAACTCATAATAAGTCATATAACTAATTAAATATTCAAATTTCATTGCATAAATATTAAGCAAAAATAATAGAACATCCCAAGAGTGTAGGGTGTAGACCACTCACAAGTTAAATGTGTCAAATAAAAATAAAATTAATGCAATAAGTATATCAGAGTTATTGTTTGATCTAGACATAACACATAACACAATAGTAGTCAATTTGGGGTTGCTGCAAATCATTCCAACTCTCATACAATCGACTCTACATGTTTTTCAGCCAACACAGCCTTATCATATATACATGAAAAAGAATTACAAATCCTTATGTAATTTCTTCGAGAAAAAAGAATTATATAAACAGCAATAAGAAAATAGCAATACAAGAAGGAAAACAAAAAGAGGGGTTGCTTCAGAAGAGTTACAAGTGAATTGCTTTCTTGATTAAGACCTATCAATTTTGATTAGGCACCGACACAAGTTATAAAAAATAAAAACAAAAACTCAGGTAGCTTCATTCAGATGCAACAAAGCATTGTAGGAACTATGATGATTGCATTTTAGACTTCAAGGTGATATGCATTGCAATTTACTATCATACACAAGACAGAAAAGGGATATGAGCCTAATTTTTAAAACATAAGTTCACAAAAAAACCATATCAAAACCCAGGAACATAGATACTCTGAATCCAGAACATCAGTAATAAATTAAACTTAAGTTTCTGGTCAAAAGCCAAGTGAGCTAGATTTAAGCTTCTAAAAGTTAATAATTTTATAACTAAACCATAATATGTATAAGCAACCCCAGATCCCCAAATTCTAAAACACAAATTTGAGCAAACAAAGAAACCACGCATGAAATGGAGCAAACTATGAAATCAAGACAACGAAGAAGCAGTTGAAATCAAGATCGTGATTCGGATCGGAGAAGAGACAACAAGCAAGCAAAGATGAGACGGCCGACGACGTAGAAGAGGAGTAGCTCCAGCGTGAAGACAGAAAAAAAACGAGATAGGGTTCTATGTTTCTAAACTTTTTAATTTTTATTAAATATTTTCTTTGTTTTTTAATTGTAATTTTATTTTATTTTTATAAAAAATATCAAAACGTGTCCAAATACGTTGACCGCGTGTCGGATTCGGTCAAAATCGCGTGTCCCCCAAGTCAACGTGTCCCAAAAAGTCAACCACGTGTCGGACGCGTGTCGGAACGTGTCGGTGTCCGACACGTGTCCGACACGCATTTTCCCCCCCAAAACTCGTGTCCGTGCTTCAGAGGTGCTTCATGATGGACCCAAGCCCAATAAATGTGGTGTTTGTGAGTTTAAAAGGGGACATTCATGCTTGTGTCTAGAGTGAGAGCAGCCAAGGGTAAGAGAAGAAAAACTTCTTGGTCTCGTTTGGTACATAGTATTTTGTATGATTTTCAGTAAACTGAATTTTTTTAAATTTTTAATTTTCGAATATTATCGTAAACTGAATGTTTTCATCATATTTTAAAAAATCGAGATTTCCGAATAATTTTTTTTTTCCTCCACCAAACATCTCCCAGAGAAGAGAGAATCTCATCTTCTTGGTAGAAAGAAATCCACCTAGAGAGAGGGATTAACATATCGTAATTCATATCAATAGAGAGTGAGATATTGAGAGCAATCCTCTTAATTTTACGAACATATATTTGTAATCCTTTTTTTGATTGTATAAGTTTTTTTTTAGACTGTTCTATCTGAGAGACAGAGAGGTCCAGCTGGTGGCTGATATATTTTATATAGGATCTATGTGCCCTTTCTCAGGTATCTATGAATGAGATACCTTTGATGGTAGGCAGATCACTGTGCACAATAATAATTGACATAGTCAAGGCGTGAGGTGTGTGCACAGTGACAAGCTAAGAGATAAGATTTAGAGAGTGTATACCTCATTGGTTTAACCCTTATTTATATATAGATGAGTTACCTGAAGAAGTGTACTCCTGGGCTTCTTAGGAATATTGGGGGCCTAAGTCCAACTACTTAGCTGTCGGGATAGGATTGTCATTAATAGGAGATTCCTTTCCTTTTGTGCTGTCCTTTATTAGTTCGTCTAGAATATAGGCCTTTGTCAGGTCCATAACATAGACTTCTACCATCAAATACGTGAATCAACTGACAAAGAGTTATTCCATCTTAACCACTACTAGTCTTGAGTTTGAGTTTTAGATATACAAATGTATTAAAGATTTGGTAAGAGTGTTGGCCCTCATGGTCTTTCTCAAGTAGATTCGATTAATCAATGAGCTAATGGAGAAGATTTTTTTAGACTTCTAATCCCATAAATTTTACTCCTTATATTAAGATATTTTCCATGCTAAATTTTTTTCGTGTGTTCTCCTAATTTTACTGTTTTTTATTTTGTTCCACAAGGTTTGGCTGCGCTCCCAACCCAACAATTTATAGGTGCACAAGAAGTAGTGGGTCATCACCAAAAATCTAATGCGTTCATGTTCCCAGGACTTACTTGATCAGTTGCCAAGAGGGTGTAACCTTTTATATAAAATCATTTTTTTAATGTGATATGGAAGAGAAATAAATTCCTACAGTTTAATTAAATTCACTTAAAAGGTGAAAGTAACCTTGAGGAAAGTGCTGCATAAAAGGCTCTTTACGAAATGTAGAACGGCTCAATGGGGAGATGGAGATTGATGATTTGTGCCAGTATGCGGTCTGGAAAGAGAAACCATTATTCATGCCTTGAGGGATTACTCTGTAGTGAAACCTATCTGGCTGAAATTTATTCCCCCCGATATAAGTTCTGATTTCTTCCTCGATAACTTAGAACAATAGATAGATAGAAATTTTGCCATGAACATTGGCGGTAGCACAAAAGATAAATGGCTTTATGTTTTTTTTGAAAATTTGGTAGTGGCAGAATGATATATTGCATGGGGCAGCTCTGATCCCAGTTAGCGTAAAAGAAAGCTTAATTCGCAATCTTGTCAATGAGGTGGATGACATGGCTGGAAATCTCCCTTATTCCCTTGCTGATAAAACGTCAATGATTGTGGATGTAGCTTGGAAGTTTTCTAGCTTTGGTGTTACGAAAGTGAATACAGATAGGGCTATTCGTGGTAATCCTGCTTGTGGAGGTTTGATACGTGATGCACATGGCAAGTGGCTTGGAGGGTTTGCTTCTAAGCTTGGGAGATGTTCTTCTTTCAAGGCCAAATTGTGGGGTGTGCTTAAAGGTCTGGAGATAACTTGGAATACGGGCGTTCGAAACGTGATTATTGAAAGTGATTTATCTAGCATGATCACTGTGCTCACCGGACATGGAGCAGCAGTTGAAGAGAATCATTTGATTTGTTGTATTCGGACATAGACTAATAGAAACTAGATTGTGGCTTTCCAACACATTTGAAGACCCATTTGGATGAGCTTTTTTTAACAAAAAAAACACTTCTCGTTTTTAGTTCGTTTGGATGTCTACTTTTAAAAAAAGTAGAAGTCATAAAAAAGCTAAAAATCTACTTTTTCCATAAACTGAAAATTTTAACTTCTAAGAAAAGTAAAAGTAAAAGCCAAATATTTTTTTAAAAAACTAAATATTTTTATAAAAATATAAATAATTTTAACTTTTATAAAAAATACTTCTAAAATAAAAAAGAGATAAAAATTACTTTTTTTGAAAAGCACAGACAAACGGGCTTGAGAGATGGAACTACTTATGCTGACTGAATGAAGAATTTCTTACTGGACAATGATGAGCAGGATGATCGTTTGTTTTGGTGGGATCCCCCTCCTGATATTCAAATCCTATTGATGGCAGATATGGCTGCTGTTGGTAGATCTCGTGCTGTTATCTGCAGTAGTTAGGTTTTGTTTGTCTTTTGTCTTTTGTTTTCTTTGGCCTTGCTAGGCCTTTTGTTTACCAAAACAATAAAAATAAAATTCACTTCATCTGATATTCTTTTCATTTATGAAAAGTACAAATATAAGATTAACTCCCAAATTAATTAACATAGCTATTAGCTAATATATAATATATTTTTTTACTTATATACATTAATTTCTTATCTGGAAATTAAAGTTGAGAAATTAATGTCAGCAAGACAAACAAGATTCTGTAAGTATCAAACTCCACCTCCATTAATGCCATTAATTTACAGAAGTATTATTTTGGCTTTTATAATATAATACTCTTTCTGTGCTTAAAAACCTGTTGATATGATGTTGACTGCACGAAACATGTTGTTGATTATATTTTTCCTATAATTAATGGTGGCTTACGTGCTAATTTAATTATTATGGTAGTTTACAATTATTATTAACGTAAGAAGTAGCATGCTCATTTTTTTTTTTTTTTGATACACAGTAGCATGCTCATGTACCTTTACTCCACCCAAATTTCATAACTATACCTTTTTACCATATCGGTTTATTCGTTAAAATGGAGTAAACTAGTCACACTGTCACAGTATCATATGAAACTGGAGCAATTAAAAAATAGCAAATTGTCTCCCATTATTAAATCATGAAGCGAAAATTTTGGCTTTAATGATTGAATAATTGAACATTTACCATGAAATTGCATTGCTTATCGATCATAATCATAATTTCATTTTTGGTGGCCTTACCAAGTGAGAATGGCAGCGCATCATGAATTAGTGGCAATCCCACTCAAATTCTTTGCCTTCGTTAGTGCTATCTCCGAGATTACTCTCGAATCTTTCCAACAGTACTTTCACACAATCACCTCTATAAAATGCCACATTTTGCATAACAATCTTCATAGCTCTCAGATATTTGGCATATAACTTGGTAGTAATATAATGTCTAAATATTTTATCTTGTTATTAAGTTTTTTATATGGTTTAAGCGGCATGTTATATTTACAACCTATTTTTTCTTATATAATCTCTTATAATTATTATTTGATTATTGTTATTTCAAAATCAAATTAATGACTTTTCTACCATTTTGATATTGTTAATTTTGTTGGCTTATTAGTTTTTCAGGTTGTGGAAAATAGATCAAAGCATGAGGACCTTGCACTCTTGTTTACTTTAGTTCTGATTGTGACCACTCTGCAAGCAGATGCAGTGAAGGAGGAGAATGAAAAAAGAACTAAGGCAAAACGCCATCTTCTGAGTGAAACAGCACTTGGTCGAAAGGGAAATCTTGCTGGTGGTAGCGACCCAAAGGATCTTCCCAAGAAGGGTTCTGCAACTCAAAACACTAACACTGCTGATTCTAGTAATAATAACCAAGCGAATAAGAGTGATGCCAATGGTGGTGATGATGATGATGATGATGATGCAAATGATAGTTTTGGTAATTACGGGAATGGTCCAGGATCTAATAGCCACCACTATTACATTGATGTTCGCAAGCCACCCATAAACGGCTAGCACTAGCTACCGTTTTGGGGGAGACGTGGAAGCTTCATATATATATATGCATGGTGTTGCATGAACAGGGCGCACCTCGTTAAATAAAGTGGAACTAGCACGTCAAGTTGAAGTAATATTAATTTGTCTTGGGTAAGTGTGCATATGTTAGTTTCACCAAGATTAAGCTTTCAGTCTCCATGTGTTGTTTACATGATTAAATGTATTAATAGTATGGTTGTCTGGTTATTATTAGGGCAACTATATATATACTTTTCTTTTTTGGCAGATTTCCTAGGTAAAGAACACCAAGCGTTACCAGAAAATGAAGCTAGTTCTTTAGTTTGATGTTTTCTTTATTTAGTTACCTGAGCCTCAAGTTCCCAAATCCCAAACTCGGTATTTCTTTTGATTTCAGATAAGTGGTTGATTTCTATTAGTCTAATGGTTATATATAGTTTATTAAATTATATCAATTATTTATTTATTTATTTCAAATAAATTATAATCCCTGGACGAAAATTAACTACTGAAATAGAGAGTAAAACTTTCTAGTCTAGAATCAAAAAATCCCACCTCTCTATATATATAAATAACTTGTAGTAGAGATATTAATTATACGGATTTTCAAATCATGATCTGGAACTCAAATAATTAAAACTAACTCTCCACAAACACAAATTTCATACTACTGCTTTAATTAGGTTCAGTCTGCACCATGTACAAACACCTGCTATATATATAGTTTATTAAATTATATCAAATTTTATTTATGATGCTGGGTTATTTTTTTTATTTTTTTTAGCTTACAAAATATATATATAAGACCTAATGTGAGAAGTAATGATATGATATGTGCAGCAAAAACTTTGTTGATATTTAATTTTGCAGCAGTCTCCAAAAATGCTAGTGTGATCACTTGGGTTAAAGATCTTAGGGGAAGTTCACGTTTTTAAATTCTACCACGTTAGCGTTATAATTATAGCCTAATGAAAATTAAGCGCTCATAAAAAAAAAAAACCTTTCTATAATAATAACCAACAATAATTGGTTCAAGCGGTAAAGAACTTGTTTATCTTAATCATAGGTCTTGAATTCTGGAGAAAATGGTATCGGAAGCCGTCTTCTTCCCTGAACCACATAAATGTTACTTTGCATTTGTTGGAAGATAAATTTGGGGTTGTTTCGTTCCATAGAAGTTAGCTTTTTTTGCGCTAATAAAATTGTAGAGATGCTGTAAGAACGAATTGTAGAAGTGGATAAGTGCGCTCTATTCGGTATATTAGACCCATGATTCTTTCCCGTCCGAATTGCGGGGATACTTGCATACCTGATTTACCACGTAAGTAGGATCATGAAATTAAAAAAAAAAAAAAAAAAACGCTTAAATAATATTTCTAACTTTGTAAACATATTCTCAATTCCTTAAATACCATAAACTTAACTAGGAGTTAAAATATAATGCAAGTGCAAGGAGTACGGGCGTTGAAACTCGAAATTATTTATTTATACTCCTTAATTATTATTTTTGGATAAACCACATTTATCATTCACATGCAGGATGCAATTTTATTTTGGGTAAGTTCAGGATTAAGACTTTAAACCCTCTCCAAAAATGGTACTAGGGAGGATTGAATACATACTCTCACCCCACTAGCTCAGCTCTCATGCGCCAACTGAGCAAACATCATTTGATCCACTTCTTAATTATTTTACCATGTATTGCGGAGATTATTTGAATTTATTATTTATCACTATGATATTTTTTATTTATTTCATGGACATATGTCTAACATATGTATATGGGGCAAGTTATATTTACAAACTTGTTTATATTCCTCTATTTTTGTACTCCTCAAAATACTCATGCAAGTTTGTAAAAGTTTCTAAACAAAAAGTTTGTAAATATAACATTCATATTATATAAATATATATATATATATATATATATATATATATAAATTTTTTATTTACAAACCACACTAAGTACTCTAGGGAGTACACTCACATAGAAATATACTCCTCGGAATATATATTTTAGTTTGTAAGAATTTGTAAATATAACATTCCCCGTATATATATATATATATATGAATCAACTTAGTTTATTTTCAAAATTTGTTTAAACAAAATAATTCACAAAGAGAACATTAATTTAATTTTTTTACCAAAAAAATCAAACCAAATATGATTATACTTTAAAAAAATATAACAAAAATACATGTTTAAAATTTAGTAATTATATAAAATAATTATTTTCTTTCTGATAATATTTAAATGCACTTTCTTTTTGTTAAATAAATACACTTCTTAAGTTTACCCAAAAAAATACACCTCTTAACTATATGGGAAAATATTTTCTCATGTCGTGGGAGAGTTATTTTCTCCTACTAGTGACCCTTCGATTTTCGTACAATATTTTCTTTTACTTTTTTAATAGATGTGGGCCCCACATAAGATGTGTCTACAACATGAAAAAAATTTCTCCTACCGCATGAGAAAATCAAAACCCTAACTATATATAGTTTAACTAAAACAAAGGTGGTTTTATTTTGACATGTTATAATGTCAAGTGAATTTTTTATGATGTAGAGCCTTATATAAATCTTACTTTTTATTCTACTAAAATTTTTAAATACAGTTATATGTATAAAATTAATAACTAATAATTCATTATCTATAAATTGTATAATTGGTTTGATAATTAGTAACGATTAACGAATAATTTTATTAAATAAATCTCAAAATAAGTTCACACACACATATATATATTTCAACGTGTTATCATCATTAAACAATTAATTCTTTTTCTTATCAATACTCACACTGGCATTATTTAATTTTATTATTTCTTTTTCATTTTAAAATAAACATATAGCATTTTTTTTTATTTTGGTAAACAACATATAGCTTTACTACAATAGATGATTTTAAAACATGCTATAACTATTACATAATAATCGTTTTCTTATAAAATGTCTTTTTGTAATTTTGAATATCCATTTTTATTTTAAAATACGCGTGTTTAATAATGCTATTAAATGTCTTTCAAAATAAATTTATTATATAAAAAAAGAGAAAAATGTGTGTCATTATAAAGAATATAAAGTTGTATCATTTTAAGGGAGAGAAAGAGATAGATAAAGGAGGAGATAAAGTGAATAAAAATAAAGGTGTAGATCTCAGCTCTTTGTGAAAGTGAAATGATATAAATTGTCATTTAAAAGAACAAATACTTTTCCCAAAAAAGAATAGGTTATCCTACATATAAAAATATAGATTATCTCAAGCAGCAGTCAGAATATGCTTGTCTTACATTTTAAAATAATCAATAACTACATTTAACTTTTAAAAATTACTTCCAACAATGATAAACTTTTTTCTCAAAGTCTTATCTGAAAATTTTAAAAAAATTTAACTTTTGAAAATTTTAAATTAATTTCTAAAAAATTTCTTACTTATTTAAAAAATAAAATCTTTGTTTTTTTTAAATAATACTTTCAAAGCATGCCACTTCAGAATTTCTGAGTACAATCAATTTTAAAATCAATCATAAACCCCAGAACAAATACGATGCTTCATCATGCACTACACTCTGATATATCTTCTGATCAAGTAATTGAATTCATTCACTCAACATGCTGACGGTTTAGATACGAGCTCATACAACGTTACCCCTCAAGGAAATTTGAAAGGAAATATTAAGTCGAGAATTTCAAAAAAGATTATGTAAGTGTAGATAAGGTAATAGCAAAATCAAAAGTTACTTTCTGATTTTTTACTTTTATTTTCACTTCCAAGGATAAATTTCTAACAGGTGTTATAAGTTGGAGCCTCATCAATACGTAGTCTCAGTATCAGTGACCATACGTGCCAGCACTGTCAATGGTATATTCTAGGAACGTGCCAATGGTATATCTTCTGGTATAGGTACAGTTGTCAGAACACCCGTATAAGAAGCATGTTCACAATCATACAAGTCAGTGATCGAGAGCACTTCGAATTGAGAGTGGCGGGTTTAGAACTGTGCCTCTGGATATAAGGTCGTGATTTAAGAATAAAACAATAACAGTTATATCGTCATGAAAATGGCGTCGAACCTTCTTGTCAATCTTATGAAGGTCTGAATATCGCATTTCACGTTTTCTTGCAGCTTCGTGTAGGGCAGCCTTTACAAGTCTCTTGGCACTACCCTGCATTAACAGAATTTATAAGCACCTATGGATTCAAAATTGGTACGAGAATGGAAAAGCGCTGAGAAAAACAACAAAATCAACCAGCTCAAAAAACAAAATCACCCCTTCAATTTCCCCTATTCTGGAAAAATAAAACACAGTTATCATAAGATTTTATTCTCCAGAACTTTAACCTATAGTCATAAATGCTCTTTTTTTTTTTTTTTTTAAAAGATTTCTCCACCGCTTCATCAATACCTAATTAATCTGGTCGAGCCAGGCAGGATGTAAGGATGATAAAGATTTTCCTACCAAGTTTTTAACACAATTGCATATTCAGGATTTGTACTCCATAACACTGGTTAAGCTGGAACAGTTGATCCACTTGCTTTGTAATCTATAAATGCTTCTCTAAGTATTCTGCATGCTACCCTCTAAGGACTAGCCAGAATTTCAAATCATGGCCGCATACGCAGCATCTCTGTCCGCATCAGCTCGTGATTACGGCCTGCACCGACCACAATTGACTGCATCGGCCCCAATAATCACAATTCACAATGCAACCGCAATTTGAAACCCTGGCTTGTACAAAAAAGGGAATGGCTTCACGATTTCCCTTTTTTAATATGTAAAGATAACGAGAGAAAGACCAGGAGAGAGTACCCGTGATCTACAAGAGATCACACTGAGGGATTAAAAGTAAGTACCACGGTTCATAAGGCATTAACAGAAAAATACTCAATTAGAGAAACTTCTGTTATATAGACATCTAAGAACTCTGGAGCCCTATAACACATTAAGGGTACACAAAATTTGCAAAAAACAGGGAATGAATTTTTTTCCTCATCAATAAGAGCCTCAAGCGTAACTTACAGATGGGTAAAAGAGCAGGAAACAAACTCCTTATTGGAATTGCACTGACGAATAAATTACTAAATAGTATGATACAATGTTGACTTCAAATAAAATTCGAATCTCATCAAGAAAGATATTAGGTACAAATGAGATTCAGGTGAAAGGAGTCTTGCAACTCATTGATAAAGCTAAAAGCATCAGGCATGCAGTTGAGAAGCTATGGACAGTGAAGATGTATAACTTGTCAAGCCATATGCCACTGTTAACTACAGACACCATTCCATTCACTGTATTAAAAAAAAAAAAAAAAGAAAAAAAGAAAAAAACACTTCCCCTTAAAACCTGACTAAAAAGAGTAGGGGTCATTCCATTCACTGTATTATTGCAAGAAAATAGGAGTCACCTCAGATAAACTGTGCTTTGCTGGATGCAATCAATGGGTTTTATCAAGTTGAAAACAAAGAAAACCAAAGCATTTTGTAGTCATATAAAATGAATACAAAGAAACCATGAACCAAGACCAGTACACAAATCAGTGCTATAAGAAAATCAAAACAAAGTAGAAAAGAATATTACCACGCGTGGATTGCTGTGAACAATCTCCACCGCTCTTTCATTACTCAGGTGCTCCCATAAACCATCTGATGCAAATATAAGGAAGGAATCATTTGGTTGGAGAGGATGGGAAATAATAGTTGGATTAGCAGACAAGATAGGCATGTTCATTGGTTCAGGAAGTCTGAATTTTGCATTAATTGGTTCCCGGTTAAACCGCGCATGTTTCATATATACGTCGCCTATGGATCTAGAAACCTGCACCAAATATCATCAAAGTGATGATTTGATAGCATAATTAATTCAGAGTGTGGAAAGCAACACTCACAAATAAGATAATGGTTGCAGGAGTTACTTGGAAAAACTTGAATCATCAACTTCATAAATACAATCAACAAAGCATATAAGGATTAAGCTAGAAAAGCTTATTTACAGTTTGTACGTGATTACCATGTTCATTTTTCTCAGAAAACAATGCAAATGGTTTCTTTTCACAGAAGCCATAGTTTAAAATTAAGCTCGCCAACAAAATTTATAGTAATAAACAAAACAACAGCAAGCCGAGAAAAGCAGAAATTTTATTTAATTAAAAAAGTATAAAAATTTGTAAAGTACCAACTAGTTTACATTTGTAGAAAACAACTTAAAAAACTCCTTTCTAGTCCCTGCACCTGTCTCATGTTTATTTTTCTTATCATATCCACCTAATATATATATATATATATATATATACACATGTGTGATAAAAATAATTGCCTTGTGTGTGCTTTTTGAAACACCCATTGCTACAAGCAGTCTCGTGATATCAAAGTTTTGATGCATGATAGCAAATTACTTTCCCCTGCAACGTGCACCAAACTGGCCTATTACTTCAACTTCCTTTCTTTTTCTCTAAACCAAATCCATTCTGATTCCTCAATCCTCAAATATTTTTTCTTATCCTCATACTGCCCCCTCACTCTCCTCTGTTTCTTTTGCAACATTTTCCCCAGAAATGTTAAGACTTAAGAATGTCTATGAAAATAAACGAGACCTTTAAGGCTATACCTGTATGTGTGCACAAAATCACATTGCATGCCTGTATAGTCATATGAACTTGCAATACCATAGTGGCATAGAGCCTCCACAATATAGTAGCATTGAGTTGGGCAATACAGTATTTTAAAGAATTATGATAATTAAGATAAATTAAGCCCACCAACACAAGGGAAAAGATACTCAATAACATTAATAGCAATAATATGCTGCAATTTGAAAGACCAAATGAACACTTTCGCCTGATATATGTGTTATAGGTAGCACTAGCTAGGAAACGGATTCATTTGTTAATGCATTTCCCTCTAGCCAATTGGATATAGAGAAAGGTTATTTCATGCTGTTGGTGAATCCTGGAAGTGATCTCTCAACATGGAACAATTACTTTGGAATAACTAAGGAGAAGAAAGGCCTTATGGCATGCAGCTACCTATTATGCTTGTATATTTGGCTTTACTGAAATGATCATATCTTCAAGAGTTCTTCTCAGGCCTGAAATCTCGTATGGACAGGTTCACTTTTCCGGCCTGTTTTAGGCATTTGGCCCATGGTCACTATTAGGCTTGCTGACAGATATACAAAGGGTTTGGAGAGTTTTGCTGTCTTGACGTCTTTGGTTGTCTTTTATATGTTTCTTTCTTGTCCTTGCTTAAGAGGATATCTTATCCTCCTCTTTTCTTCGTAATCTTTCTTTCTTTCCCAATCACCTTTTATAGGACAAAAGATATTTCTTCTTTTATCAGAAAAAAATAGTAATTATACTACATGGGATTGTTTAATGAAACTTTGAACATTACCACAAGCTTAACTAATTATACCTCCCAAATCTGTACTGCTTCTATTATATGGAACTGTATGCCACAATGCCTTAGAAAGTTAATATAATTAAACTTAGCATTCAGTATGTTTTTAATTTTTCTATGCACCAATAACTATGAAGAAGGGAATTGGAGAAATTTACTGTATTATAATTGAAAATTCTCCTTTTATTTTCGTAGGCATTTTGGAGGAATTTCTGGCAACAATACTGCAGAATATAGTGAGGGTGGGAATAGGCATAGATAGCATGAGCAATGGGGCACAAACAGGCACACATAAACATATATAAATATATAATAATATACCATAAAGATAAAATACAAAATACACGGCAAAACAACAATTATAGCCAAAGACTTTGGCTTTACATGTCTCGAGTCTGTTGACATGTATGGATTTCACAAACTACAATTCACATGTAGCATAGAAGAACAGTGCCTATGTTCTTTATAGAAGCCTGAGGACACAGGTTCAGTTGCTTCCAACACTATTTTCCTATCATCAAAAGTCAATATACAAGTTCCTTCCGCACGGCACTTCAAGCAGAAAACACAACAGAGAATTCAAGCTATCAATAAATGCTCAGTGATCACATTCATGCAAACACTGGTCTCCGTGTAAGGAGGGTTTGTGAGAGGAAACAAGTATATAAAATTACCTGAATAATGCCTTTTACTTTCCACACTCCATGTTTGAGAACAACAATTTGGGGATCATCAGGGTGTAATTCTTTAAGTTCCTGTCTAACAGCCTCAATATTTGCATTGTGTTCCGTAGAAAGCTGAATCGAAGCAACCCCACCGGTGTTGCCAACTTTCCTACCCAACACAAGGCGAGAATCCCCAACATTTGCCACAAATAGTGTCTGCTGATAAATAACTCCAACCAGACAACACGATCCAGTAGTTGCAACTTGAGGTCGAGTACTCCATAATTCTGAAACAAGGGCGGTGAACCCCTCTTCTGTTCGGCGAAATGCTGTTTCAATAGTCTCAGTCGTCACAACTCCACGTGACTCAGCCGATATTGCTGCATAAAAATGAAAGTTCAAAACAGCTATAAATAAGAAGGGCTCCTTTATCAACACACGCAAGAAAAAAAAATAAAAATAAATAGCATTCAATTCAAACCTACCAAAAGCAATCCAAAAAGAAGAGTATTGGCGTGCATTTTTCAACTGTTTTTGATTCTCGTGAAAAGCATAACTTTTAGGACAAAAATGTTCACGAAAAGCGAATCGATGAAAAATCACTAATAACAAACGACAGTTCCAACACACGATCAACAATTAAGACCTAACCCTATATAAGAAAGAAAGAAAGAAAGGGGAGGGATATGGAATAAAAAAACCTCGGAAATTGCGGAACAAGTGATCGCAAACGTAACGCGCTGCATCGGGGCCTCCGTGGCCGTCGTAAATGCCGACGAAGGTGCCGAGAGGACCAGACTCGATCTGGCTCTGGTCTTCGAGGACGTGGTTGGCCTGAACCACCGCCATGGAGAAATCGCCAGAGCCATATTTTCCGATGTCTTTGAACCAGAGCAATCCGTCTTTGCCTTCTCTTCCGACAATGCCTGCTGAAGAAGATTCATCACCGCGCCCGAACGGCTTCCAACATTGAGAGATAAGATTCATCAATGCATGAAGCATACAACATCTCTCAGAAGCCCTAACCCTAATCCCCCAACACCGGAACCTTTTCCAATGGGGGAGGTTCTCCGAATCTGACTGGAGAGAGAGAGAGAGAGAGAGAGAGAGAGAGAGGTAGAGAGAACGGTTACGTGAACGTTATGGAGAAGAAGGGTGAGTGCGCAGGATAAGCAGGAGGCGCAGGTTAGCAAGACTTGTGAAAAAAAGGGGGATGTGTTCGGTGGTAGAGGAACAGGAATGGGCTCGTCCTCTTCTTCGGAGAGGATGGTGTGGGGAAGCCCTTGTTGCGTGCTGTTCTTTTCAATGTCTTTCTTATTAAGAAATTTTTGTGTTGGTGCCAGCACTTTTTTTCTTTTTAATTTTCAAGAATATTACATTCACTTTTTATTTTAATTAGATTGTTTAAGCAACAAACCTTATTTTGCCTTAGAGAATGCCTTACAATAGAGGTGAGAGGCCAAAGAGATCCTACTAAGGGACTTAGCTTTATGATGTTCATGTTCATGTTCATGTTCATGTTATAAGATTATTCCTCTTGAATAGGTTCGAAGAAATCAGGAAGTCCATCAGAAAATTTATGACATGGTCTATTTTATTTAATATCCAAATCAGCTTGATATATACTTCTAAAGAAGCTTGTTTGGTTAAATAAATGAATTGCTTTCGCACGTGTGGGTGCTTCCAGAAATGCATCCTGATTCTACAGAGCTTGGGATGCTAGATGCTGATTTGGCCGTCCATTTTACATTTTCTAATTATGTTTCTCTTCTCCTAAATAGTGTATCAAAACATGGTAAAGAAAGATGGGGGAGAATGGGTCACAATTTAATTTTTAAAAAAATTATATTCTAGTTTTGTATGAGAGATTACTTTTTTATATTTTTTTTGAATCCCACTTATTTATCTCTCAACATAAGAGAACTTGTCTTCCATTACATAAGATGAGAGAAAAAAATTCCTTATTTTTATTTTTTTTTGAAGATATTCCATTCGATTCATCTTTTACGATTAGTCCGATTCGAGGCGGGTTCCGAGATTAAAGCTTTAAATTCTTCCCAAAAATGATACTAAAGAGGATCAAGCATATGCTTTCGACCTCACCTACTCAGTTCTCTAACATCACTTATTACTTAATTTAAGAGAAAAATTATTCTCATGCTACATGAGATAAGTTTTTTTTCTTACACATTCTTTGAGAAGTGTGCCAATTTTTTTTTAGGTGGTGAAACCTACAAGTTTATCTCTATGACATGAGATAATTTATCTCCTTTAAAATTAATAAAACCCTTAATTAAACCTTGTTTTTTAAGATATGGCCGGACTTTATAAAAAGTCTGACCCTACTTAGTCTGAAAACATATTTAAAAAACTATTTTGTAATGGCTGTAATTAGGTCAACAAATCTCGATCTAAGGTAATGGACCGAAAGTTATTATGAGTTGACGAAGTGCAGCCAAGGGGATTGAGACCTGACCTCACCTCTCTGGTATACGGTCCAAGATGTACCGGTGATAGGGAGACTTAGTATTGTTAACGGGGTTTGTGGCTAGAATGAAGGATGCAATTGGGGTTAAAAATATGTATTCTAAAAGGAAATATCATGTATATAGGGGGGTTTAGGATAAATTATCATTGTTATTATAGTTGAGTCATGGATGATTAAATATTTAAAATTACTTTTAGTTTAGTGCGATTTGTTCTAGTCAGGGGTGTTAACGGGCCGAGCCGAGCCGAGCTTTGATCTTAACGGGCCAAGCCTGTATTTAAACGTGTCCGACTGGCCTTAGCCTGTTACCTGTTACGAATATAATATTGGCCTGTGACCTGGTTTATTTACAAAAAATAAAAGCATGTCTTAGCCTGTTAGCATGTTAAAGAATAAAAATAAGAGAATAGAATTCCACAAAAAATAAATTTCCAGATAGAAACCTTAGCTTCCAATTTGCAGCAATAATTTACAAAGTCTACAATAAATAAAAAAAATTAAAGTGAGAGAAGGTAGATAACAGGTTATATTATCTTAGCCCATTATAAAAAAAGTGCCAACAAAAATAAAAGTAAAATAAATAAAATAAAAATAAATTGACACAAACGAGCAGTGTACAGTGGAACGAATGAGTTTTTGTGGGTTTGTTTGTGTGAAGGAGGATGAAGGATAATATAGAACAACACTAGTAATTTCATAAATATACATAAATTCAATATATATCCAAATAACATAATATAGAACAAAATCATTTAAAAAGTCTGTTAAACCAATAAAATGGGGTGAAATAAATTGATGAGAGAGAGTTATTACAAGTAGTATAAAAAGTATAAATAAATATTTATATACTAGGCTAGCCTGGGAGGCTCTAAGGCCGAGCTTCTGAATTAGAGCCTGAGGCCTTTTTATTAAACGAACTTTTATACAAGTCCAAGCCTGGTTCCAACACGAGCTTTTATTAAACGAGCTCAAGCCTTTACGAGCCGAGCCAAAGGCCCCTGACTCGTTTACCACCCCTAGTTCTAGTGATTAGTCGTGATTGAATGAGGTGGAATTTGGGGAATTGGACTAAATATGGGGTCCACTGCATGGATTCAAAAAAAGTTGTATTTGAACTTCAAAAAAAAAAAAAAAAGTTGTATTTAACAAATGGGGATAATTTAGTTGGTACCAATAAAATTGAATAAGTGAAAAATAAAAAATCTCTGTTTAATTTTCATATGTATCTTTGAGAAAAGTTTAAATATTTTCATCCTTAATTCGTTCCGTACTTCGGATTAATCTAATAGCCCGACTCAAAAAATCAAAATTTGTAAGGATACAGGAGGAGCCAACTCGTCTTACAGAAATAATTAAGGTGGGTAACTCAAAAAAAAAATTATTATTTTTTAATTTTTTTAATTTTCCCTAAACAAGTTCTATATCTAAATAAGCTAACATGCAAAAGCATTTATATAAATTATCGAGTATATAATTTAAGACATCGTAATATATAAACATCAAATACTACAACAACAATAATAACATTTTATTTTAACATAGTTAAAAAACCTTTTGGATAACCTAAAATTTAACCTTCTTCTACTTAAATAAGCTTTTAAAAAAATCTTAACCTAACTTATTTTGTAAACGGGTTAGATCAGACCATAGATCCAGAGGCCACCTGACCTATTCCTTCCCCTGATAATAGTAGGTTGATCCATTTAATGATTATTCAAGTTTTACAATCAGCAGCTTATCTGATTGTTTATTTATCCGAATATTTATTTTTAGTTTACAAAAAGTTACTAAATAAATAATATTTCCTTTTTTCCAAAACCCATATTGCTGACCAAATGCTATGTCAGTGTAGCAAGTTAAGGACATGACTAATCTTATCTTTAAGAAGCTATGCACTCTTGTTAAGTAATATTTGACAAGAATTGCCCCATCCATTAGAGTTTCAAGGAATTAAATTAGCCTGTAACCCTGCTTTGCTAATATGGCCACATTGAAAAGCCTCAAATTTCTAAATCCTAAACGACAAGTACGGTGATCAAAGGTCACTTTGCCTTTAGAACTATGTTGGGTTTAAACAATGCACAAGGGTTATTGTTCAAAAGGTTAAGGAAAATGACGATGCTAATACTCTTCATAATCAGATTAGCCTACGACAACAAAAATTTGATTTGTTGGAATAAATCTTTGGTACTACTGTTGTATCAAAGATTCACTGTATTCTGCCAATGAAAATATTACATGTCAGTTAAAATTTTGTTTTTTCTGTCAAATTTTTTCTCTCTCCTATGATATGTAATGTTCTCATTAATGAGATGCACTGAATCTTGATACATCAGTATTACCAAAGATTTATTCCATTTGTTGGGGCGACATTACGAGAAAAAGGCAACACCCCATGATCATAGGCTTTAGTCCTATTAAATTCTAAATTCAAAGTCCTTCATGTCCTTCTTTTTGTTTCTCATGTAATGATATCAAAAGCAATTAGTGCACCAGAAACTAATGCACTCCAGTAGTCACCCCCAGTTTGAGGCAAGGTCAATTTCTATGTAAGTCTTTGTAACAAGCTTGAAAATCTGTACAATAAAGCAGGTCTAAATTCCTTGACATGCTTTGGTTTTTTCCACTTTTGAAATAAGACAAATGAAAATATTTTTATCAGAACTAAGGTTAGCCCCATTATTAAGAATATCCAACACAGAAACAACCACATAATGACCACTATAAGCCACATTTTTTTTATAAAATAAAGCAGGCACGCCGTCTGGCCTAGGCGCCTATAGGGGTACATTCGGAACACAATATTTACCCTTTAGTGAAAAGTTTACTCATAATATTAAGAGTTATATTTATTTTATTTTGCATGAGGGAAATAAATTTTTTACACATATAAAAGAAGGATGGATCTCACCTATTTTTTTTCTCTCCTTTTATCTATGAGTCCAACTTGTAAATAACATAAGATAAACATTTTTTTATAACATAAAAAAATTATTTCCCAAATATTAAACATGTCTTTTGTCAACGTCCTCTCCAACAACAACTTATGTTACTTGTGTCCTATGTTTTGTAGTTGATAGCAAAAAACATTAAAGAAAATAAAATGATGAAAGGACATTGAAGTCTCACATGAATAGAAGCAACACTCCTTCCATTTGAAGTCTCACATTGGAGAGGCTTCCCTTCTCCTCTGTTGGATATATGCTCTTTTGGTCACTAAAGTCCTATTGGGCTTCAGTGACACTTGAGCCCATGAGGCTTAGGGTTGAGTTATGTCTAAGACCTAAGGTATATATTCATAGTTTTCTCCTCTTGTGCCTCCAAGGTGAACAGATCATTAGAAACAAACCCAAGAGGCAGACGTTCATCATCTGAACGGTTGCCCACACAACCATCTCATCCTCCTCGAGAGATAGTCTGGAAGATCGATCATAGAGGGAACAACTATTGTTCGTGGTCACACAACTACGCCCTTCCAGGTAATCAAAACGATGAAGGTTAATCTTTTCCCTCGTCGTGTCGGTTCGATGCGCTTCCGCGTTTCTGATGATATACCTACAATTGGTATCAGAGCCGGATCGCGATGAGGAAAAGAACCAGTTTTGAAATAAATTCATGTGATTGTTTTTGAAAATTATTTTTTGAAAATATGGCATCTTTTTCTATATTTGTTATTTATTTCATGGTGATCATTCGTTTATAATTCTTATTCGATATTGCTTTTAATTTTAATCGGTTAATCGCTTTAATCCATGGTTTCCTTGCTGTTTTTGTTTTTTTTG